CCATCTTGCATCCATAATCAAGTACAATATTATCAGCAGAAGACTTTGTTCAGTTTCTCAAATGTTGTGGAGAAAACAAGCAAGTAATGCATCACCTGATGATGCGCACATTGATTCCTTCATTTTTACAATTTGGCCACTCAGAGGCCAGGGAATATCCAAAATATTCTGGAATTTTCTGGTCAGATCACCTGACCAGAAAATTTCTGCTCAAATAAGTTGCTTTTAAGATATGCAGACAATTTAATCCATTGTCGATTGAAGCATAATTTTCATGATAATTTTTGGGTTGCATTGCGCATAATGTCATTTAAGCAAAAATGCAATGATGTCAAGATGTCATCAACAGTCTGGATTCAAAAAAACAGGAAGTATAATGGTGGAAAATTCTTTCATGGGACTAAAATCACTCTCATCTTGAACTTTCAAGAGCCTCAGCTTTTTTCTTTGCATATAGTGATGCCTATTAAGTGGCTTCGTTGAAAATATATTCATCATCAGGCCTTCCATCTTTTTCTCTCATGTATCGCAGCTTCTGGTCATGACGGACGCCGGGGTCGCCTTGGACATCGTGACAAAGTCCCTGACGTCGACAGTCAACAGCTACTTGCCCGACGAGGATGGCAGCGTGGCCCGGGTGTTCCAGGCCCNCCCGACGAGGATGGCAGCGTGGCCCGGGTGTTCCAGGCCCTGGGCCAGCTGTCCCTCGGGGTCGTGTCAGCCGGGCTGGTGGCCATGGCCGTCATCTCTGTCAAGGAGTACTTGGCGACCAACGAGCGGGAATTGCTGGCACTGAAGACCTACGTGAAGAAGCAGTACAAGGTCCTGGGGGAGTTGGAGGACTTCAAGCAGGACCTGAGTGGCGCCTTGGAAAGTCGCGCCAAGGCCCGCCTTCCTCCTCCTCCGAATGTGGGTCGGCATATTCCTTGCCAAAAAAGAACAAAAAAAAAGAACTTGACACTTTATCCGCTTACAATGTAGTAATTTATTTTTCCGAATTTTTCTTTCGAATTCAGTGAAGAGTTGTTTAGGAGTGTTATGGGACAAAGCTGGAATTTTGTTGTATTTTAGAAAGTTTTCAATTTTTCCTGTGAGGATAATTATTAACAATCACTGTACAGCATTTTAAAACCATTAGGAAGGTCTACATTTTGCATGATATTCTATATCAGTGTTCCCCAAACTTTTTTTGGGCCCGCAGGCCAGCAAATTTTTCCATAAAATTTTTTGCAGACTGGCAAATTCTCAGAAAATGTTCTGCAGACCAGCAAAGTTATTTTTTTTAATTCTTGTACTCCAAAAAAATTTTGCCTGACATGCTTTATGGCAGTATTGAAAAAGTTTATACTTTTTTGCAAAAAAAAAAAAATTGGTGAATCAATGAAGCAGGTATTGTCCAATTTCTTCAAAAAATTATGCAGGTGGGCTTGAACTTAATATTTAATTATTCTGCAGACCAGCAAAGTTATTTTTTTTAATTCTTGCACTCCAAAAAAATGTTTGGTCTGACATACTTCATGGCAGGTTAAGACAGTATTGAAGCAGTTACTGCTTTAAAAAAAAGTAATTTGAGAACCAATTAATGAAGCAGGTACAGTATAGTCCAATTTCTTCAAAAAATTATACAGGTGGGCTTGAACTTACTATTTAATTACTTTTAAAAATTTCAATTTGTGAAAACCCCCCAATCTGAAGGTTGACTTGAAACAGGAATTCTCAATATCGTTTTTTTTTGTCTTTAGGACAAAGTGGGAATCCTGATGGAACCCGAAGTGGAGAATGAAGAATCAATCATTGATTCGTACAAGCAGGAAAAGTTTCGAATTCAGCAAACTCTGGAATCACTGCAAGCCAAAACCAAGGTGAGTACACAAGTACTTATGTTTCACCAATTTCAAATGTAAATGTTCCTTTCATGGAATGTCACAAGATCTACAATCAGGGTTGCCAACAACTCGCGGAGCTGGTCATAAGGAAAAAAGTCCCCTTGGCTGTCTTAAACATGTATGTTGCTGATGCAAAATCAACCTGCAAAGAATTGGATGAAACTATTTCCTTTGGAGAAGGTCATTTGATGAAGCTTCTTAAGCAGGTGACTGAACTCTAAAAAGTGTGATTCAGAAATCCACCTTTTGAATTAGCTGAAAAATTCTGAAATTACACAAATTTTAGGACAGCCCCAATTTTGACTAAAATTAAAGGATATAATTCGCATTAGTTCTCAAAAATGGGAGATTTTTGAGAGAAAAATGATATTTTTGAAGAGCCAAAATTTGTATACAGTATCAGAATACTGGTCATAAAAAAGTGGAAGCCTAATAACTTTTTCAAGTTCAGGCGTGACAAGAAAAATTCAACCTTGAAAAGTTTTCAATTTTTATATGAAGCTGTTTTCTCATAAGACATGTTTTAAGCAAATGTTGAATTTGATTCTTCTTACATATGTAAAGTGATTTTCATTGCATGCGCATCAGGCTTGATTAATTGCCTGATTTTAAACTTCTATATTTTCAAAAGGTAGGATCAATTCAAGGTTTTGGGAAAAATACCCTGAATTTCATACTTATTAGGAATTAATTCATTTTTCAAATGTATAATTCAGATTAAGACCACTAGAGAAGCTCTCAGCAAGGATGAACTTGGGAAATTAACTCCCAGGGATCTGGAGACTTTTATTGCTTTGCACCACAACTACTTGACTGACTTGGAACAAGATGGTGCTTATGCTTACCTCTTTGCAAAACCCACAGAATCCTCAGGGCATCCTGGAATTTCTTTTGAACTTGATGATTACCCCTCTTACTCTGATGAAGACTTATTCTGTTGAATGGGTTCTCCATGTTTGTCTCTCTTTCTCTATCTTTTTTTTTGAAGAGGGTATGCATCTGTGAAAGACTGAAACTGTGAGACAATGTGTTCATTCTCTTGTTATCCAACAATTGGTTTTTGGGATTTGAAAGTTTGTCCTTCCACCTCCAGCCTTATTAAGAAGATACTCTTATATTCCCAGATAAATATTTGCCTGATTGTTTGCTCCAACTTGTTTGGACTTGAGCCTTTCCTTAATGAAGCTTACACTTCAATTATACAGCAATATATGCTTTATTGACAGTTTATTCTCACTTTTTAGAGAATATGTGCCAAGGATCAGTCAAATATTTATCATATCCTGGAAGATTTTTCAAGAAAAATTGAACAGTGCTGAGACTTTCATTTTAAAGCATTTATGAAATCAGTACATTTGGTTGTGAATGAGTAATCTAATTTGGTCAACATTCAATTGTTTTCTGGACTGTAATTTGATGAACTGCTCTCTTGCAGTGGGTACTTCAGTGAATTTCATCACCAAATTGGTTTTACAAGAGTTATTCTTTTGGTGTCAGGAAGTTTACCTTAGTTGTCACTTTCTTTCAGTATATACTGCATTTTTTGTAATTATTAGTGAACACATTTTCTGTCTCACTATACACACATCATCTTTATTTATTCTCACATCAGTAAAAGATTTTCCTGTTTCAGTAAGGAAACTTGTAGCATGAATAATGGAAGTAAATGTGTAAAGCAAAGTTTGTTGGCAGGAGCATTTGATCCCAGGAGATGCCTTCTGCCTCTTTTCCAGCTCACATTGGGCACTTCAAGGTAGTTGTTTGAGAACACTCCCTCTGTTATGCATGTGAAAGTTTTTCCCATCAGTTCCATGTACTGGAGGAGATTATCTGCTGAAAGAACAAATAATTTTTCAGACAGAATAGCTATACAGTGTACACATATGATATTTGTAGTACATTGGACAAACATTTTAGTATATGTGCTACTTGGAAGCATATGACACACCTGATCTGTGGGGAGAATTCATTTTTCCTCAACAACTCTGTTGGTATTGAATTGTTCAGACAATCCTTGGTACAGTTCACACTTGAAAATTCTGTTGATTGAAAATCTGTCTCCATTTTAATTTGAATGTCATTGAATAGTTGGGATACAATTTTGTATATCCACATCAAGTTCCTGAGAAAGGATTTGATGAACGGCATTGATTGTTTAAAAATGAGAGATAAATTTCTACCTGTGAATCATGTAGTTAAAGTATATGAAATGATGGTCTCATATTTCTAATACTGTATACTTGAAAGTCTTTATAAATTCCAGTTCCTTCAATCAATTAGGCTTCAAATTTTTATTTTTTCCTGTAAAACTTATTTTAATTCAATCCATGTTGAGAATTATGTTTCTTGAGATTAAAAATGTATGCAGAAAGCAGAACTTGTTGATCATTTGGTTACAGATGAATGTTTACATTTGATCTCTACAACACATTTTATTGAACATGAGATGATGAAAATAAGCTATCCTGAGCTTTCTGTTAAAGTAGCTGAAATAAATCTGTAAGTGCTGGAGGAAAAGCACTTCATCCTATTGGAACCATATCAGATTTCTCTTTTTTTTCCTGTTTTTCTGACCACTCATGTCTCAATGCTATTTTTTCATAGGATTTCCGTGATCTGATCAAGATCCTCATGTTTTCCACCAGTTTATGTCCTGATTGATGTTCCAAGTATTCTCATATTTGATTCATTGGATGATTGATGTGATTACTGTATTACATGTGATAGGAGGCAAAAGCAAATTAATATTGTACTGTACATTGATGAATTCTATGAATTCAGTATTTGATCCTAAATTGAAGAAACTTTTTTAATTTATAAGTACAATTGTGAGGTAAAAATCTAACCAAAGCTTGACCAGGCAGAGATCAAAAGGTTTATTCTGAAACGTCTACCTGGAATTTTCAAAAAGTCTAAATTGTTCAGACATCATTGCAACTTCAATAATAGAATTGTTGAATTTCACCATATTTTGATCAAAAGAAAATTCAAAAGGGTCTTTATAGGGGATTTTTATGTGAAAGTGACGGAAAGTTGAGCACATGATACCTTATTTGGAATCTTTTTCTTGAAATAAAACTTGAATGGTGGATTGTCATCTGAAAATTTTGAGGCGACACCTATGGGAAAGTAACAGAAAAGTGTTGAGCCTTGGACACTGGGATCTCAACTCTCCCCAAGATATACTCTTATTATAATTCATATGCTGTATATACTGTATTAATTACAGTATTATTTCTCATCAAAAATTCTCTCTAAATTGTTCATTCAACTATACCTCATACAGAAACAAGCTGAAGACCATGTGCTTTAAATTAATTTTCACATATATTTTGTTTTCAATATGTCAGGGAATGAATGGGTGTATGTATACATGTCAGATGTCCAGTTGTATTTCATGGATTGTATTTTATTTTATTTTTGTTATCAATTTGTGCTCTGTCTCCTGCTCTGAAGTGATTAAATGTCATTGAGTGGATTTGGGTTGGGTGGGAAGAGGGTTTGGATGTGGAAATCTTGATTGAACCTTGTAAACGCTGAAAAGCGGCAAATAAAGTGTTCTGTTCATTCATTCATCCATTCATAATTATGGTTTACAAATGGCTGTACTCTCCTATTATATTACAGTACCATCATTTTTTTTATCCGTGAAAACAAAGCTTTTCTTCTCCGGGTTCGGTGGAACCAAGTTGAATCCGCAGCACATTCCTGTGCACTTTGATCGCGTGCAAAGAGAAGTCATGTGGTCAATGTATGTCCCAGGAATGTCCAAACAGCCTCGTTCGTGGATCTTGGTCGTCATCTTGCGAGGATTGTAGGCCATGTAGCAAGACGAATAGCCGGATATCGTCACCGACTGCTGCCTTGGGTTCTGGCAGCATTTCTCTTCCCCCAGCCCTTTTGTTTCATTTGTTGCCCCGTGGCAGCACATTCCTGTCCTCTGGCCTGCATGATTATAAGCGTGATTATTGTGATGTCATTATTGTATACAGGGTGATACCAAAAAGTAAAGTGAACCAATTTTTGACTTGGAATAGCTCAGTAACACATTGAGCTGCTGCAATGAAATAAAAATAAAAGCTTGTTCAATTTCCTTTTAACTAGTCCCTGTGGTTTCATGGGTCCCAAGTGACACAGCCTGGTCACAATAAGAACCTGTTATTGTCTCAAGTGGCATGAGCAAATGCAAATCTTCAATCTCACTGGCCAGACAATTTACTCTTTTCTTAAGACAGAAATTGTTCAACTGATCAGTTAAAGAGCTGTTGGTCTTGAAGGTTTAAATCAATTTCCATGTGCTTTCCAAGAGTAAAAAAAATACTTCAAGATGATGTTTGACAGAGTATCTTTTATTATCCTTTTCACTCAGATAGTATGTATTGTGGAGCTGAGCAATGCAGACAATAGGTTTAGCAGCAAAGTTCAGTGATGCAAGCCTCAGTGGCTACATGAGCCACCTGTATTTGTACTATTGCATGAACAATGTCATGGAATGCACATAGCAACCAATTTGGATTGGCGTTGACATACATTGTTGCACACTTAACAAAAGAAACAAGAGTGGTTTAGAAAGATATTCTGGTTAGCCACAGAATCCTGGGTAAAGTTGTGCGCTGCTGGGCACAATGAGACATACAAAAACAAAAAATAGTGAGAGAATTTTAAAAGTGCTGTTCACATTGTATAGTCATAAAAATATGACCAAAACATAACACAAACCATTTGAATGCAAACTTTAAAAAAAAAGTTTGTCTGGCAGCTTTGGGATGACCCCCTCCTAAATTTTGGGAATATGTGGACCCTCTTGAAGGCAGCATGAAGTTTTAAAGTTGAATTACTGGTTCTGCACCTCATTCATCCCCAAAAACAGCTCTAAAGAATAGCAGCTCATAAGTATAATACAGTAATAGATGCTGCCTGACAAGGTTTTTGGAAAGATTTTATTCAATTGTTTCTTGTGACCATGCTGAGGCAATTGGAACTTGAAACCATATTCAATTTGAAATGGAATTGAACAAGCTTGCATTTAATGATTTTTACATTGCTGCAGCTTCATTTGCTATACTGAGCCATTTTAAGTAAAAATAATTGGTTAACTTTTTCTGGTCCACCCTGTAAATGAATGAAAATGACATTAATGATTAAATAATGACAGCAACCCTTGGAATTAATGCCCTTTGTCAATCTCAAGAATTTGGAATAGAAAGCTGGGGTGCATCAAAATATCTGCTAAATGGGCACTTGATCTTTTGCAAACATTTGCAAAAAAAATATATCTATAACCATCCAGGCTAAATTTTATTTTGGGTGAATTAGTGTGCTTATCTTATCAAGTTATACTTGGTATTGTATCAAGTATACTCACAGTTGCCAGAGCATGTTGAAGATAGACATTCTGACTTTCCAATGAAGAATGTAAGCCATAAAATTGCATGCTTGCTTATGATCATTGCTGATGCAAATTGTGTGGGGTTAAAGCTAAACCTGCTTCATGGAAATATCTGCTGTATACATAGTCTGGATGAGCATACTTTTCAACTTTTGAGAGTCTTCAAGAGTTTCTCTGATTCCTGCATATAATTGTTCTCATGCTGAATAAACCTTTTTAAAGATAATAATCGAGGTTTTCTATTTTATTGATGCTCAAACCCATGAAAGTTAAAAAAAGAATTTTTAATAATACAGTATATTTCTTTTTTGAGATAAGAAAAAATCTCAGATTTGAAAAATTCAGACAAGTTTCCAAAATAGCTGCGAATTTATTATTATATTTTTGGCTGAATTGAGAAAAATACCCCAATTTTGAATTTCTGGACTCCTGGAGAAAAAAGTGGAGAAGTACTATACCTCATCCAAAAAGTACCTTATATGATTTAACTTTGAATAAACCTGTGTGTCAATTTTACTTTGAATAAACTTGTAATTACATTGAATATTTTTCTTTGATTCACATTTTCTCAGCCTAAAAAAAAATCAATATTGAACTGGAATTTTTTCATCATTTTCAGAGTTACATTTTCCTCAATAGTGGCAAAACTGTTGCAGCAAAACTGGACAATGCTCATCAGATTCACCTGGCCTTTGCAGACAAAATAAACGATTTCCTGCACTTTTTTTCTGTGTATAATATGTTCCACAAGCGTTGTATCACTATGCAAACATGACCTGTTTTTTGAATAATTTGTGTGCATCACGAAGTGCGTCATATCGGGTCTATACATCATGCGGTTACACCCTGCTGACCTGACACAACCGCGGAGAAACTACGAAATAGGCAATTGTGCCAAAAATACGGGCTCAGGAATTAAAATTTCATGTGTTTGAAGTGTGGGTGAACCTATACACTTTGCTCAGCAACATGCATTTCAGAAAGATCAGGTGCATGGCGAAGAATTATCTCACCCTTGTTTATTCAGTTTTTTTTAATTTTTACAGTACAGTATATGTATTTTTCAAAAATATAGAAGGCATTAATGCATTCTCAAACCCTAGAAATTTGTTCTTATTTCATCAGCTTACAGTTGATTCTTCTCTGGTGAAGAAAATTCATTTGAAGACTCCCAATATATGTAAAATGGACTTTTCTGCAGAATTGCAGGCCATTGAGTCTGTTTTATGAAAGACAAAGCCACACAAAATATTATGAGGGTCAAATTACCTGTTTTATTCCTTTTATTTAAATTTATTTTACAGTACAGAATGCATCAAATGTTTTAAATTCTGGGCCAAGTAAAAGAGTGGGGACTGTTTCTTGCAGTTTTGCATCCACCTGTCAATAAAATGACACAATTACAAGATCAGGATTGGTGATTGTACAATTTCTTTTTTGAAGAGACTTCCTGCTTTTGAGATGTTCTTTGCTGTGGACGAGGACTTTCAAATTAAGCCACTCAATAGCATGTAAATTCAGAAATATAATTTTTTTTACTTATCCTGAGCTGGGCATGTTATTCTTAGTAATAGCCTCATAATATCCCCAGAAATATGCCTTAATTTCTGACTGATTTGGGCCCATTTTTTGGAAAGGACAGGGAAACTTCTGTTGCTAAGGGAAATTTCACTAAATTGTGGTTCCCCTCAAGAACAAAATGGAAGTAGAGCTGTTCCAATTGTGGCACTATGCAATTAGAGGGTGGTAAACTCAATTGAGGGTTGGCTGTATAGTCAGTCCCATCCTACTGCATAAATTATATGACCAAATGTGAAACAGCAGTGTGACAGTTTTCATGCTCTTTGGAAGATAACCTTGTTTTTAATTCATCAGGTTCAAGGAAGTGGTCAAGGATTTCACCTGAAATGAAAAAAAAGACAGACAGACTGGTCCCAATGCATATTTTATTTTTGATTCTTGGTTTCATCAGGTTGATGCACTTTGAGAAGCCTTAACAGGCCTATACTTACACTGTATACACTTTACTGTAATGTATATCTTTACTTTCATACCAGTTGGAATTGTAGACAATGCCATGGAGTACTGTATTCCATGTTTGCATAACAGTCAGGTATTCTTGCACCTATTTTCAAAATCTGGACTTTTTGGTGTTCATGCTTTCTAGGAATATGAAAATTTCAGACTTGCCAAATAATGATCAACTGATTGGGTGAGTAGATTATGATTGTATTTCAATCTTGGTTAGTGAAAGATTGAAATTCTGTAGAGTGTGATGCCACTCTAATATTGCTGAAAATATCATGATTTGCTTTCTCAATGGAGAATGGTAGGATTTTAAATTTATCCATTCTAAAAAGCACTTCAGGTCCATATTCAACGCATTTTTTTCTACATATTTCAACCCTGCCGTGGAGTATTCATGATATACAAGAGTGGAAGAAAGGAAGTGTTTTCTCAACTTTACTATATGGTTTTTTTATAAAAAAAAATGAAAGCTGCTGCTGCGCTGAAGGCCTGAAAAACAAAAGCACTCCGACTTCCCTAAGTGCCTCCATATTTGGATTTGCAAGCTAATTTTATAAAAGTTGCATGTGCTCAACAGTCCATCATCTTGAGCACCTTTTCAAGAAACACCACAAGTCCATCTGAGGGTATAACATTGTACTGAAGATATTGTTCTAGACAATTGTAGATTATGTGGGACCCTCAACGAAATATTTTGGACCTAGATCTATTATACAGTAGTAAAAGAAAAGACAAAAAATCATAAATACTGTTGTGGAAACAATTATGCCAAAAAAAAACTTTGATGAATGTTCAATAGTTGAAATTTAAGTAATAGTTTTCTATGTTTTATTAAAATTACTACCTGATCTTGCTAGTGGTAAAACTGAACCATTACAATTTGTATTATCTAACATCCCCTTTGTACATGATACCTAAGCTCTTTTGAAAAGTTCATGGCATTCAAATAAAAAATCATCAAATTTTATTATGTGTCTAAGTGGTGTAATTTTTGTAGTATAAACAAATTGGTTATTGCATCACCAGAGCACCTTATTTTCTGATAACTAGCATTCCACAGCTACAGAAATGAGTTTCAAAAGGATTTGGGACTCTTACAATTCAATAAAAATGTTTTTTCTAAAATCTTAGAGAACCAAGATCAACTGTTAACTTTACATGATTTCTCATAAAAGATTCTCTCCAAATTGTTCAATCAATTAAAAATTGTCTGGGAGCAGGCTGAACACCATGTGCTTTAAATTGGGATTAGAAACTGCTTTATGATGAAATTTTCATCATTGATATTTTGTTTTTGTGAATAGGAAAGGCAAGAAATGTATTTGTATCAGTTTAAAAGAGGATCTTTGTGCAAACTAAAAATGAATACTCAATTGTACCCTTTTTGAAGCATTATGTCAACATTCTAATGGAAGTGGAGTTGACAATTTTGATCTTTTGCTTGGTCAATTGCTTTAAACTTTGTCAACCTTGGATAATAAGAATTACTCCAGTTTCACTTATGGCTGCTGCTCCTAACATTGTCCTCAGTTGAACTTGAAGCAAACTAAAGGTAATACTTTTGATCTCTAATTTTGGTTGCCTGAATATTTGTCAGACTGCAGACTTTTTCATCAAGTGAATTTCTTCAAATTTTATAAATTGATGTGCCGTTGCAAGAATGAAAGATTTCAAATAAAGCTGTTAGTTGCTAAGCAATAAAGATGAGAGAAGTTGAGAATGAATTTCAAAATTTATTGTTTACATGCAAACCTGTATACTGGCATCTATTTATAGCAGGTACATTATTCAACTCAAACATACAAAATTAGTCAGTGAAATGTAAAGCTTTTCATGAGACATTTACTAGAACCTGGCTTTACTTGGTATGTATCTGGATTATTGCGCTTTTATCAGTTGTTACATGTTTGATTTCCTGGCTCCTTTCACTTGGTACTGGAGAGTTGAAAAAAAGGAGAGGAAGAGCAAGAGACAGACAGATACACAGAAAGATTTTTCATCTGGGAATAAACCTATTCAAAGGATGTTGATGCATGGATTCCTGTTCAAACTTTTTTTTTCAAGCTGAAAGGACTCTAAATCAGGGCACAGGTTGGATGCATGTGAGTCTTAATTTAATGTTCATACCTAATTGAAGTGCAATCTGCAAGGTTTCAAAGAGTTTCTCAATGAGAAATGTGGACTTGATTTAATTGAGAACTTTTCCACTGAATGTACTTACTTGCCTATCCTGGTACATGTGAACAGAATTTCTTCTTTGCCCTATAGTGTCTGCACAGTTCTAGGATGTATCTGCTGTGAATATTTTTTCTATTTTTCATACAGTAATAATCACAATGGAACCAATCAATTGTTCTTTGCCTGTGACTGAGGCTTGTACTTATTACATACACTACGGCCATGCAGAAGATTTTTGCCAGTCTATATTCAGCATAATAAATTGTTCAAAAGTAGCATCTGTTATCTATATCTGAAATTTTGGAAAGGCAATGGCAGTGGAAATTATTTGATGAAAAATCAAAGTTGGCTTTTTCTCCAAATAACGCTTCAGACAGATTTTCACCTATATTGAAGTAAATTATTGTAATAGTTCATTCTGAGAAACCTTTATTCAAGCACAAGTTCCTATTTTGCCACTCCAAAATTGCTGCTTCACTGGTTCTTGACCTGATTTTTGAAAAAAAAAGCAGAAACTTTTAAAATAACTATCATTAAGCCTTTCAACAAAAAACTTTTTGAGCCTGCAAACATTTTATGCAACTCAGCCAGTCTGCAGAAAATGTTTTGATAATATTGTTGTCTGCAAAAAAAAAGTCTTTGGAAATTTGCCAGTCCTTGGGGCCTAAAAAGGTTCCCAACACTGTTCTATAAAGAATTGAAAAAAATATGTACATAAAAATAATCCCACAAGGTGCACGTCTCTCATCAGCATAGCTGTTTATTTGTCATGTCAACTCAATTTATGCTTCGCGGACAATGAACAAGACCATCCACAGATTTTTAGCTAACCAAGCCTCAAAACACCGACCAAAGGAAGAAAGAAAGAAACCCAAATGAACCCAGTGCTGAAAGTGAGCACCACTGCTTGGTAACTGTGTATGGTCTTCTGGTGGAGCCACGCGTTTGTTATTAGAATTCCATTGGGCAAAAGAACTGGTCTCCCTGGAAAGTCGGCATCTGTTCAGGGTTGTCCAGAGGAATGGCCTTTAAAGAGAACTTGACTGTGTTGTAGCTGTGGCCTGAAGATGACAGCCTCACTGTGGTGGACCCACAAAGAACACTGGCCTTGTATGTGCCTTCCTTTGCTCCTGTTGGACCTGTTGAGTATGTTTTTTTTTTTTTTTGAAGACAGAAGAAAGAGTTATTTCATGCCTGGAAATTTTCAATTTATGAAGTACTGTATTTTCATTGTACACTACAGTGTCTAAATTTCCACCCTCCTTTACTTCAACCTTTAAAAAACTGAAGGTTTTAGAAAGCTGTGTTTTAATGGGAAAAAGTATAATTTGTAAGAGTCCAAGAGCGAATAAATATACTGTTACCTTGAAAGCACTTAAATATGATCAAACTATTAAAATTATTTCGAAGTTTCTTGTGAAGACTCAAATTTTTTTTTATTGGGTTTGGATTTTGGAATGATCATAATACAAGGAAGTGGAAAAAAAGTTTGATCATTTCATAAAAAAAATTTGATGCCTCGCAATTGTATCAAAAATTGTTCTATCCTTGATTTTCAATAACTTTATTGTGTGATGACCTCACACAGGTCATGTGACTGAATATGTATGGAAGAGTAAGGTTTTGTAGTGCTCACAAAAAATTGATTATTTGTAGCACATTTGATTTTAGCTACATTTTGAGAACCAAAAAACACAACTGCATTATTTAGAAAGGACAGCAAATTCCTGCTGAGAGATTTTATTGTTGAAGAATGCTTCAACATTCTTGGACTATTTTTTTTACAATTTCCAATCTTTTGAAGTGTTTGAGATTTCTTATGAATATTTTGCATATTTTAGAACTGGTTATGTTTAGATTTTCTTTTTTTGAAGCACATTTTTCATTTTTAAAACTTGATTTATTCTGATTCACAGCGTGTTTATTGTCCATGGCTTACCATTGACTGAATTCACAGAGCAGAATGTCTTGAATGGCTGCATACTGTCACTATCCAATCCACTGCCACCTTTGATTTCAAGCAAGTCTCCTTCTTGGCCACAATTCTGCAAGACAAAGAGAAATTCATATTTTAGCTTTAGGAAACTAAAATAGGATAATTAAACTTTGGGTTGTAATTAAACCTATGATCTTTCTTCAGTAAGTGATCTGCGGCTTGCTTCTTCACTTTTTGGGAAATATTCACAATGGCCTGAAAAGTTAGAATTTAGAGGCATTATTACTTGGGAAGAGTTTCAATGAGTCAAGGTATCATCAACAGAACTTTTAAACCATCAGGTTAAAAAAAAAATCAACAATAAAGTTGAGTTTTCTCTAAATTATTTTATTCTTCCCATCACAACATGATGTTATGTTGCCCAAAGTCAACATTTCTCATACCACAGTAAAGAGTTTCAAAAAGGTTTGGGACTTGAAATTCAATGAAAAGACTCTTTCCAAAATGATGAAGGACCAAGATGAACTGCTAACTTGGTACAATTTCTCATCAAAGATTATCTCCAAATTGTTTAATCAACTAAAACTTATCTGGGAGCAGGCAGAACACTGTGTGATTTAATTGGGCTCAGTAATAGCATTATCTTGCAATTGGGTTTGGGTGTGGGAACATTGCTTCAACCGTGTGAACGCTGAAAATAAGAAAATAATGCTTGCTGATCAATCAATCAATCAAGCTCATGCCAGTGAACATTTCTTTTCAGGTAAATATGTCATAATGGAACATCAAATATGCACATTCTTTGCTGTATGCTCTGTATATACACTATTGTCAGTCTCATGTCAGGAGCTCATCATTAAAGGTCCATAACTATAGAATAAGTATGCATAATGCAGGAAAGTTTACAAAGATTGAAATTGCTTCTTGAAGAAATTTTCCAAAAAAATACATGATATAAAAATCTGCTTTTAAATTTACAGTAAGTAGAATTCACCTTTAATTGTTTAATTTTATTTCTTTTTTATGTTTATTATACAGGGTTACTATAAAATCTTTTAAAATAACCACTGGAATATGTGGTCATATTGCTGAGCAGATAATTCTAGTCCAATTTTAGTACAGTATCTCCAAAATACAGATGTTGATTTAATTATGCTGAATCTCTGGGTAAATTTGACTTCACAAGGTTTTTGAATAATCTTGTGAGTGTATGGTCAAATTTGAAGTTGAAATTTCCAATATTTTGCTATACTGTATTTGATATCTAAAACCCAAAAACTGCCAATTTGTGGCTTTTTCAGACTGTGTCTGTTGGAATTTTCAAATTGTACTACAACAGGGCCATAGCATGAAATACTGTATAATTTCAAGAAATTTGGACAGATTTTTTGACAAGTGTTCAATGATCAACCAATTTTTGCATTGTAAGAACGGATTCTTCCACTGTTGCAGGTTTCATTGTGAACTCAATATGATCATGAAGAAACTTAGAGTTGATGAATTCTTTGTATTTTGAATTTTAAAGATCTTAAGATTCATGGTGCATCAGTATTTTTTTAAATGCACATCTTTTGAAATTTTCCAATGTTAAACTTTATCTGAAACTAAAGTCTTCTTCTCAAAATTGTTTTAGTTTCCTAGATATACAGTAGGGCCACTTGAAAGTATTATTTTTTTCTGCAACAGCAGGTTTTTCAACAATTTAGTAACGGGCTCCAAATAGCTTTACTGTATGGAAAACCCCATAGGATGAATGAAAAGATAAAAAAAAACAATTGAGAAAAAAGTACTGTATATGAATGTCCACTGAACTTCAATACATTTTTTCTAGTACTGTACTAGTAAATCCTCAATTTATTGACACCCTTGCATAGTGCCACAAATTTCACTGGAACAAATCTCCCATCATTATGTTCTAAAGGGAAACCCCAATTTAGAGAAATTTCACTTAGTGGCACAACAATTTTTCTTTCCCTTGCAAAAATAGGGCCAAATCAGAGAAATGAAGGCATATTTCTAGAGATATCATCAGGCTATTCAGGATAAGTAAAAAATTCTATTTCTGAATTTACATGCTATTGGGTGGCTCAATTTGAAAGTCCTCCACAGCAGAGAACATCTCAAAAACAGGAAGTCTCTTCAAAAAATAAATTTTGAAATCATCAATCCTAATCTTGGAATTGTGTCTTTTTCTTGAAAGGTTGATACAGAAGTGCAAGAAACAGTTCCACTCTTTTTTACTTGGCCCAGTATGTAAAAAAATCTGATGTATTCTGTATACTGTAAAATAAATTTAAATAAATTAAATCAAACAGTTGATTTGACTCTCATATTATTTTGTGTGGCTTTGTCTTTAATGAAACCAACTCAATGGCCTGAAATTCAGCAAAAAGTCCATTTTTACATATATTAGGAGTCTTCAAATAAATTTTCTTTTAATGCAATACCCCCAATTTAGTGCCACCATTGCCTAGTATAAGTAGTACCACAAACAGTTCCAGAACAAAAGATGGCACCAAATTGTGGTTTGACTCTGGAATCATAGATGTTTTGATAATTTGAAATGATTCTTTTGAATTCAGCCCAAAAATACCTTTGTCCACTCTTCTGTAAGTTTACTAATTATCCCATTGGAAAGCCATCCCATGCAAAACATTCATGATCAGTCAAGTATGCAGTGAAACCCCAAGATGCGGACATAATTGGTACATCAAGAGTGTCCCCAAGTTGAATTGTCCCTAAGTCAAGTCTTGTTTTCCCACAGACTTACATTGTATAATTTTTAATTGGGGTTTTATTGGAGAAATATTCTTCAGAATTCCCTGAAAAATATTGTTTGCCGCTAGAATTTGAATTATAGTGAATACATTTTCAACTCAATAAGAACACTTGGAGCATTGAATAGTGTATCTCTGTACTGTACATATAAATGTTGGCATCTAGAAAAATAACATTCAAGTGAAAAAAAAGTAGAAGTCACTCTATGCTGGAGGTAATTTTTTTTAATTAGCTAAATGGATGGTAATTTGGTGAGAGAAATGCCCAAGAACTTTCCTTACATGAATTTTGGGGTTGGAAATATCTGTTTCTTGTAATTTGGCCTGGAATGAATTTGCAGTTTTATCACAAAATATCCCTATGTCGAGTCAGTGTCATCATGTCGGGCCTTATTTATTGATTTTTTCCTGGGGAAATAAGTGTCCCTAGGTCGAATTGTCCGCAGATCGAGGCGTCTGCATGTGGGGGTCTCACTGAATTTCGAATGTTCCACATATCGAATGAACTAATGCATCAGCGCAATGAAACTAGATGACAATAACAATAATGTTTTTTTTTCTTCAAATGAAGTCATAAAGCTACTTGGGGAATTTTAATTTCACAATCTTTCGAAGACAATGATTTTAAAATCGTAAGAGCAAAGAGAGAAAAAATTGGCACGAGTAAAAGAAAACGAGAGAAAAACGAGAAGAATAGTGGGAAACTTGGCGAGTAGGTGATGGAGGAAAGGTTTCCTTCGAAAAGTTGTTCTCACGAAATTAACAAAAGTCACATTGTCCCGCACGAGGAACAAGCGCGAATTTCCGTTCAAAGTTTTTCTTTTTTCTTTTCCTTTTTGTCAATGGCAGATCGCGTTTCAGAGGCGCCATCTGTGAGTGACCCCGAGGTCAATTTCGCAACGGAGGCCGCCATGTTTTCCCCTCTTCCCATTTCACTCTCATCTTCGGTTACGCAACGGTCAACCGCGAGGTCAGAGAAAGGATAATCCAGTGGATAATCCGAGTTCCTGAGACGGGATTTTTGTCTCAGGCGAAAGTCGACAGTGTCGACCGACGACTTTCGACACTGTCGACACTTGGGCAAGTCCAGCAGGGACTTTCACAATCGCCTCCAAATTAGTTCGGGCGTCTTCCGAAAAAGGTTTCCAGAGTCATTAGTAATTTTGAACCTGACTCAGCTTAAAGACGTTGATTACTCCGGGTCTCCAATTTCGTTTCTTTCATTCCAAGAGAAGTAAATCAATTACATTGACTGTTGCCCAATCAACAAGTTTTAAAATAACCTCACATGACCTCAGCCCCGGTGGAAGAACAAATCTTTCTTTTCGCAGATGCATTTTCGGGACACATGAACGAACTAAGAAATGCCTTCCAAAGCGGGGAAAAAACCATTCGAAATCATCATTCAACTCAGTGATGATTTACGAACACCGTCCAAGAATTATTTCACAAAACGAAATAATAAAATACTGTATATGACATAATTCATTCAAGCTGCTCATGGACATCTTAACCGAGAGCTGGTTTACTTTCTGGAAATAAAACCAGGACATTCGAGGAAGTCATTGAATAATCATCGAAATACTTGAGAAGAATTTTCGTGTTTTATAATCAAGCCTCCACCTTAAATATCGGACTTTCCAGAAGTTTATATTTTTCCAACTACATGATTTTAAAAATTCAGACAGAGTGCAAGCCGTTCGAGAAAGAAGAATTTTCAGTAAATTAGGAAAACGGCAGGAAATACCTTCCCAAAAAAACACACAAAATACTATTTAAAATCGTCATTCAACTCATTGATGATTTCTGAACACCCACCACGAATTCTTTCATACGACGAAAGAATAAAAATCCCTTGACGTAATTCAACAAATTCGATTGAAATTTCATACCGAGAATACTAGCTGGACTAATTTCTGGAAATAAAACCACGATATTTCAAGAAGTCGTTAAATGATCATCGAAATACTCGAGAAGGACTTCGTGCTTCAAAATCAAGCCTTAATCTAAATCATCGGACTTTCAAGAAATTGATATTATCTTCCAACTTTTTTGAAAATTCAGCTGAGAGATCACGGGTCAATGTGGAAGAAATCATTCTAATACATTAAAAAAAATGGTAAGAAATACCTTCCCAAGCAGAAAAAAATACGTTTTGAAATCAAAATTCATCTCGGTAATGATTTCCCAACACCCGCCACAAATGATTTCACAAGACGAGAGAATAAAAATCCAGTGACATAATTCATTAGTGTCGATTGACACCTCCTACGAGAGCAACAACTGGATGATTTTCTGGAAACAGAATTTCTATGTCCCAAAAAGTCATTAAATGATCATCGAAATACTCGAGAAGAACTTTCGAGTTTCAAAATCAGGCCTTAACCTAAATCATCGGACTTTCCAGAAATTGATATTTTTCCAACTTCTTTGAAAATCCAGCCGACAGATCGCGAGTCAGTTGTGAGAAAATAATTCTTAAAAAATTAGTAAAACGGCAAGAAATCGGTTCCAAACACACACTTTAAAAATTCCGCAATTATGAGGTAATATTTCCAACGATTCACTCGAGAAAAATCAAGATGCCACCGGTGCATTTAAAAATTTAAAACCAGCATGCATCAAAGTCCGTTTCTCGAAGATTTGGTGGTTGCTGTAAGAATGAAACTGTGGACATTGCCAACGTCCTGGGAAAGTTCCTGTGAGACTGTTGTACAATAACACACCTTTTAATGATGAATTGCTTAATCTCCGGTTCCAAAACCTGGGCGAAGTGGGCCGTCAAGTCTTAACTAACTTCCTGGAGCTTTTCTTTTTGTGGAACAAGTGGATTCTTGCCCCCTGTTCTTGAGGCAACGATGTTGTTAAAATCGCGTCACGATTATCGCTTTGACCGTTCTCGCCTTCATGGATCAATTTCTGAATTTCATTAAACTTCCTGGTTTTATTCAGCTCGTTTCCTGGTGAAAGATATGAGAAAATCGATTGTCTGCAAAAACCCCGCGGAAGTTCAACTTTCTTTCACCACCTCTTCGCGAATTTTAGCAATTGCTTGAGCCTCATCCTTGGGAATCCGCGTCAATATGCACAGAAAGCTTGGTTTCATAGTAAAAGAAAAAAATTTCCCTCCAGGCGAAAATTTTCATAATAAGCAAACCGATTTCACGAAGAAAAAATTATCACAAGTATTTCACGTTGAGCTTCGATTAAATCAGGCATTATTTAGGCTTTCAATTTCCAGAAACGAAGCTAATTGCAAACATTTATACAAAAAAAAATACTCGCATTTTCGGGGTCCACAAAACTCTCAATTTAATGTTTTTGAGGAAGACTAATTCATAAAAAAAAAAAACTTCTAGGCCACATGACAGCTGCCAAAATCCAGGTACAGCAATAAGCAATTGGTTTTTTATCCTTCAATCAGAATCAATTTAATGAGGAAATTGCATAGTGGCTTGCGGGCAGAAAATTGGAAACAAACCATCGCCGAACGATCAAACCTTTATGATTTCTATCCGGAAATCGGACGCTGGAGTTCAGTAGGTTTATCTGCAGAGAAATTTAGGAAGCAAGAACAAAAAGTACAGAATTGAAAATCAATTCCAGAAACCGCGCCTCGAACTACAAAATTCGAAATAAACCAGCCTTCCCATCAATTTTTGAAATAATAACGTCCCTCTTAAACCTCTTGTAATGAAGCTCAGTCTAATATACTGTATCGGAAACTGAGGAATAAAAATATACTGCATATGAGAGCATTAAGCTAAAAACAGCCAAAATTTTGTTATAATGAACTATTCACCTCGAAAAAAATCAAAGGCTCTGGCAGTAACTTCGAACAGACAATGATGGACAATATCTCATCGAGGAAAATTTTAAAAATTCATAAAAAAGTGTTTTCTGCGTGGTTTTCCACTAATTATTTTATAATTATAGAGATTTCTTCATTTTGCTCATCAATGTGTACAGTATTTCTCACCTTTGAAGGCAGCATTTCTGAATCAAAATTTACCGCTCACAAAAACTCAAAGTATTTTTTGTTCACTGAAGATAATCATACTTTAATTCCAGAACAAAATAAAGTAGAAGTTGTTCTTGAGAAAATTTTATTCATTGTGGTATGGCACATTTCTTGCCTTGTTCTCCTGAAAAACTGTAATTTCACGCATTACTGTTCTCACATTACAATGCCAAGTCGGATCTGAAGAAATTAATTTCTGATTTTTAAAAATAAGGCTAAATTTGTTTAGTAACCTTGGTTCACACTGTTTAAGGATCTTTAGAAATTTTTGAAACAATATTTAACCTATTCTATGATTCATTACCATAAAACCATCAAGGTACATGTCTGAAGACAGAACTACAAAAAAGTCATGTTCTCCACAGATTTTTTAGGTGATATTGATCACCCATGTGTTCAGGACTTCAAGGTTCCTCAACTATACATTTTATTTGGAAAACAATAAAACACATCAATCAGCCTGGCACTGGCTGGGAGCCACTTTATAGAGGCTCCAAAAGAATTGGGTTTATGTATGCCCCAAGAGAGTTTTAGCAACTCAGTGAACTTGATAATCACACACACATGAGAAAATTGCACAAGTCTCTTAGAAATGATTAAGGTAAGATTTTGGCTCTGTTCAGTTGGAAAGTTGGCAGTGGAATGAATTCTGAGTTCGGTTATTTGGGAGGAAGAAGGAAGAAGAGGAAAGTGGTTTTCCTTGAGTGGGATTTTCTGTGCTTCTGATTGGTTAATTTTGACAGAATTGAAGATAATGCTGTGCATTGTCATAGGAGTCCTTTGGGACTTGTTCTTTGGTGCTGGGCTCTCTATAAGCATCAGCACCAGTTTATACAGGATTTGGGGGACTATTAATACAGTATTATATTTAATTTGTGTGCCCCGCAGTCCCCAACAATGTGAGGACATAGACCTGTACAGTCAACCCCCATCTAATGGACTTGATTTGTGCAATGGACAAGTCTGCTGTTAGACAAAAAGTCCTTTAAATAAATTCAATTACTGTATTTACTGAAGTACCACTTGCCCTCAAGTAAGGCGCGCACCAGGGTTTTTCAGTTGGAAATTTTGCTAAAAAATTATCCCCAAGTAAGACGCGCACCCCAATTTTTAGTGCACCTAAAACCACAACGTTTTGAAAATAAAAACAAAAAATTTGCCTTCAGGCATATCTGATCAATTTTCAACTTTTCCAGTACAAAAAGTTTTATTTTTTTATTTGTTCCAAATTTCTCCATTATAATTAAGTATAATGCACACATAAGTTCCTAAAACTTTGTGAAATATTTGTACCCGCTTATGACGTGCACCCCTTTTTTACTCTTGAAATTTGAGAAAAAAGGTGCGTGTGGTACTCAAGTAAATACGATATATAAAAAAGTAAAAATTTCAATTGTCAACAATAATTTTAAACCAAAAGAAGTCTGTTTGGCGGCATTTTGTCTGTTGGGTGGGAGGAAAAAACGCCTGCAAAG